AGGTCGTTGAATAATTACTTACACGATATTACTTTGTAACAGTCGCGAGTTTATTAAGTAAAGTAATCACCAATTGTCGGACCGGTGTGTACGGAGTTGAGTCTTACAGGTACTTATTGACTGACTGACGGACTACTGATCAACTGCCTGAGTGTAATTTGTTTATTCCTTTTTATATCTTTTATAGCTCTTTTCAGGTCAGTATTGCGATATGGTGTGACATTTTGTTTTTGTGAATATGAATTTTTGCGTTTGGTAACTTTTATTAGGAATGTCATTTACCTTGTGTTTCGTCAGCTTTTTGCTGACGTGCGAGTAGTTTAGCAGCTTTGAATTTCATAAATGTGCATTTGTTACAAAAAATGATGCGTCGTAAGCCGTAACACTTTATTTCGGAGTGTCATTCACCTCGCGTTTCGTCAGCTGACGTGCGAGTAGGTTAGCAGCTTTGAATTTCATGAATGTGCATTTGTTACAAAAAGGATGCGTCGTAAGACGTAACACAACAACGACGCATAATACTCTCCGATGATTGTTTATACTTTTTTCAAATAGTCAACGAAAATAATTCCATGTGCATTCCAAAAAATAGTGGCCATAACCTTGCCGGTCGATTTCACTGTCTTCGCCTTCTTTGGAGCTGATTAACCTTTGACAATCTATTGTTTTGACTATTCCTTCGTCTCAGGAGTGTAGTAGTATATCCAGGTTTTGTCTATAGTTATGAATAGACGCAGAAATCGAGCATCAGCGACCATCACTTGACTGCGTCTGTTCTTGACTGAGAGCAAACGCGACACCCATCTTGCCGAAATTTTTCTCATGTCCAATTTTTCATGCAAAATCGAAATGACTATATTTTTTGAAACCCCTGTAGCCTCAATAATTTCACGCAATTTTATTCTTCGGTCATTCAACACCATGTCATGAATTTTATTGATCATTTTCGGAGTGCTCACGTCTACACGATAGCCTGAACGATGATCATCTGCAGTCATTGAACGGTCACGTTTAAATTTATTTACCCAATTGTAAACAGTTGCAAACACCTGGGCAGATACACCATGAACTGCATCTAACTCAGCTTTGATTTCTTTCGGTGTAAGGTTTTTTAAATAGAAATTTTTTATCACCTCTCGGAACTTAATTTAATTTAATTAATTTAAACATTGTTAACAAGAAACAAAAGTTATTCACTTTGATCGACAATAAAAACGGAACTAATCAATAAATCTGGCTGAACTTCGACAGCACTCTATTTAATAGTGACGCTTGTTGATGCAACATAAATTAGGATGCTTTGACCGCCAACTCTTGGATTTGCTAAGGACTTATTGACCCACCCTCGTACAATAAGCTACTATTAGCTTCATTCTTCCAAATTTTTCTAGTACTTTTTCTATACATTTACATTGATCCAAATTAATAATTTCGTTTCCTAGATCTCGTGTAACTTTCATTCCTAAATATTTTTTATGCCCTTCTAACATTTCATTTAAAAGCTTTACATGATTTCTCTTCAATTTCTCTGAATCATTGCTGAATATAATGATATCATTAACATACAAAGCCATTAAAACCATCTTCTTATTTAATCTCCATGTATTCAAACAAGGATCATGAATATAATTTTTTAGTCCTACATTATTTACCTCTTCATTAAACTTTTGATCCAATCGGACTGACTTTCAATCCGTAAGCTGCTTTTTTTAGTTTACAAATTTTGATTTTTCTCTCATTTTCATACTGCACTGTATCCTCTGGAATTTCAATGTAGATCTTATCATCTAAGATTTCGTTCAAGAAAACTGTCTTTACGACAGTTCTCAATAACTTCTATCTCATACTTATTTATTACTGTCAGCAAAGATCTTATTGTGTTAAGTTTAGACACCGGTACATACGTTTCATTAAGCTCATAATTATTCTGGTCTCTGAATTTTTTAATTATGAATTCAGCTCTGTAAATAATCAATTCTTCCTCTGAAATCTTTCTTTTGAATAACCATTTGGAGATCAAGAATTTTTATTTATTTTTGTCTACTAAGTTCCATACTTCGTTATTTGTATATGACTTTAATTCTTCTTTAATAGCCTCTAACCACTTGTCTTGATCTGAAGTTTGGAGAGCTTCTTTTGCAGTGGTTGGATTTTCATTTAAAGAGGCAATCAAAGTTGCGACTCGTACATCCTCTTTTTCTATTGTTTCTTTATATTCTTTTTCTTTGCTCTGAACTTTATATTCAAAGACTGGATTTCGATTAGGGTTACTCTTAATTTTTCTTTCTCGCATTTTCTTTCTTTTTTTCTCTGAATGCTCTTATACTTTCGTTGATTTTTTCATCATAAGATTCCTCTTCACTATCACAGATTCTTGAATTTTTGTTTGAATTTTATTGTCATTGTGTATTCTACTTTTTGATTCGGATCTTTTTGATTTCCCTACATCTTTTGAATCCAGGTATTTCTCTATTTCTGTCTATGTTATCTCTAATTGTTTTTCCTTGATATTTTGGTATACGTTCTGAGTGAGTATTAAAGATTATCAGAGTCGTATTCTAATCCATGGTAGTAGAATCCCAACCATAGAGCTGTCAATCGAAAACAAACTACTGTTATATTAAGCTGTACACAAACCAATTTGGACTTATGATATTTATCTCTGGTGTGCTGTTGCAAGCTTGAAAATAAAAATAATTGAAAGATTTCAATCAAAAGTACTATGTAGTATAGTACGGGCCCCTTGGTTCGTTATAAATAAAATTATTAGAAATGATCTACAAGTTCCATCAGTCAAAGAAAAAATTAAAACATTCTATGAAAAATATAATTCCAAACTTCAAAATCACCGAAATAAACTTGTCAACAAGCTACTCAAGACATCCATTACAAATACCAGATTAAAGAAACATAAAATCCTAAGTACATAAATAAATAAATAAATTGTAATTTTACAAGCAGCTTGAAATACAAAGATAGAATACTCAATGAACTATTCTATTAATTATGTATATTTCTTTGCTAAACTGTAATCAAATTTACTTATTGCCTCAATATGCGAGGCAGATTGTAAATAAATATGGATATAATAAAAAAAAATGTAAGAACTTTGGGTTATAAATATTAGTTGTAATATTTGACATAATTAAAAAGATATAATTATTCATAATAAAAACAAATTGAATCAAGTAGGAATCGAAGCCTCTATCCAAATCGTAGAAAACGAATAAAATCGTCTTGCAGCGTTCAGCTCATATTGCTACTTCGCTCTGCTCACCAGCGAGCGTGATATGCCAGGCGCACGTTCACTTCCCCTTTTCTCCGTGAGACTCACATAGGCTTCTCATACATTTTTTAGCTGTACGTGTAGTAGACCCTGCCATTCTTTCTTGAAATTATACGTCAGTTTCGACGCTTTAGCCACTGAGGGCGTTCAATTCATCAGCTTTCATCGGTTACGTTTCGTACCATTGAAGTTAGTAATCTCTCTGTTCGTCTCTAGTTGATGATTGCTTCAGAAATGAACATCCGCGTATGCAAAAAACACAATCCTAATTAAAAATGCGATAACGAACAAACAGAAATTAGCAATTAAAGAAATTGATAAAAAGAAGAATTAGAGATGTTGAACGACTTTTACAAATACGTCATGATCATTCTTTTACTGATTCTGTAACCGGTAACATGTAAGAAGGAAAAGCAAGAATTGAATATTTAGGCATTATTCATCTAAAATTTTGTTGAATTATATTATTGTATACTTTTCTTATTATTATATTATTATATTATTATATACTTTCCTTCATTACTATAGCTTGTATTTGTCGTTCAGGAATTAAATTTGATTTATCATAAAACTAATTGATCATAGAATTGTATTATTTTAATGAAATTAAAATGTTTTCAAGGAGATTTGTTTTTGTATAGGTGGAATCGACTTGATAGAACGAGTAGATATATTTAAATGAATAGAAAGATACTAATATAATTAGTTCCAAAGATATATGCAGAATTGTCCATAGTTGAGAAAATTAAGTGCGCCCCATGTGTCTTCCTTCGTTATTCTTCTTTGATTGATTCGTAATGTATTTCAAATAAGATTTCGCATCATGTTCTTATCAGGATATCTATCGTTCTTATTCTCATCGCATTTTAACGACAATCAACGGATTTGATCGAGAAGCCTCAACCATCGATATCTTAACGAATGATAACAAATAAAGTATCAGAAGTATCGTAAATAAATCGTTCATAGTACGAGTAAATAAATGTTTGCTTATAATTGGTACTTTTTATTAATTGTGTTAAATTGTTAATTTTTTATTATTATGAAGAGTTATGATTTATTATTACTTAACAATCGGTTAGTGTGGTTAACTCAATTTGTAGTTTAGCTAATTCATTATTATTATCTACCTATTTACTTATAATGAATAAATGAAGTACTAGCAGATAATAATTAGTAATAAAATTATTTAATTTTCTACACCGGAGTCACGTTAACATAACAACGGTCTCACCTATTCAGGATTTTCTGTAATCAAAAGAGAGAATTATTTGAATAATAAAGTGTCTGATATATAATATTGTGAACACATATCTAAAAATTGTTGGAAGAAGTTGTCTGTATATCCGTTTTACACACACTTCGTGTTCAATTGCTTGTACGTAAACCGTGTAGCCACGGTTGTATTTGTATTGTATCTCGCTTGTGTATGACGTTTAGAATAGAACATAAGATTTTTTTCTGTTTACTTTTTCTTATTACTGAAATAAAAGAAAATTTATGGGGAAGATTCACGCTTCCATAACATTATTGATACCTCTACATAAATATTAACAAATGTTCTTATATCTCCATGTATCTTTTATCCTATATGTGTCACTCATTTTTTTACGAGAAAAGTAACAGAGAAACAGAAGACAATATTTAGATAGATAAATAGATAAAGAAACACAAATATTATGAGAGAAATAGTAAGATTAAGATAGTAACAAACCTCAGATAATTTTATACGTGAACCACTTATGCGAGGGCCTTCATCTGGAGGAGTTAGAAGTGCGACTGATGTTACAATAAGTGCTAGAACTGCGATGATCACAAGCAAGGCAATGAGAATACCACGCCAATTCCTCTGATTCGGATTTGTAGATACCAATTCCTATAATATACATTATAACATGTAGAAAATATTAATGTAAACAATTTCTACATAATTTGTTATATTTTAACACTAATATTACCTCTTTCATACTATACCCTTGTAATTTTTATCAACTTAATAAATAAGATAATAATAATTATCATAACAATTTTATAACTATCAAAAATATAGCATTATATGGTCAAATAACGTGAAATTAATTTGCGACAAGAAATTTTGGAAGATAAATCCGTCGGCAAAATCTCATCACCGACTACCCATTGGCGACTAAACTCCTCGACTTATTTTATGGGTACTAAACTGCTTTTCTTAGATTGTAGCAGTCTTTGGGAATTCGAGTCGGAAACGCGAAAAACAGGCTTGCAGAACATCAATCATCTTCTACATATATTAAATTTTACATTTGCCATGGGTAGGTTTTCCCGTCACAAAATGGCGGGTTCTTTACCAACAGCTGATTATTTATCTTTTCTCGTACGATTCCAGAGATTGGCCGGTCTAGTTCTTGTATACAATTCTTCTTCCACGTCAAGGTACGAGTAGAATTAATAGGCGAATCGGAAAATTTAATTCACTATCGCCTTCCGAATGCAGACAAATTTGTAATACATAAGTAATGAAATTTTAAACTGAAATTTTCATCATCATATAGTCCATTTTCTTAATCCTTACTTTCTTCATCAATATAATAATCTTTGTCTGTGTTTGTCTCATTTTAACTTTCTTACATGACATGGAAACTTTTCAAATCGTTTGCTATAATTTTTTTGAACAATACAAGGGGGGTCAATAAGTCATTACAAAATCCAAGAGATGGCGCTCGTCACGCTTAAATTATGATGTTTTTGGCAAGCAATACTACTAAGTAAATATCGTACAAAGTTTTAGCTCGATTAATTAAGTCGTTTTTTTGTGATCGTTGGTTGAACAAAAAGTTATAGGTTTATTTGAAAAATGGAAAAAAACAGAGTTTCGAGCGGTGATAAACATTTTTGTTTGAAAGGCCTTACACTAAAAGATATCACAGTTGAGTTGAACGCCGTTCATGGCAAGTTTGCCCCTGTGCTTAAGACTGTTTATAACTGGGTAAATGAATTTAAACGCGGCCGTACAACAACAAAAGATGAACCTCGTTCAGGACACCTCGCAGAAGTGAGTACCCCCGAAATGGTCAACAAAATCCACGATATGGTGTTGAGTGATAGAAGATTAAAATTGCGAGAATTAGTTTAGACCACAGGGGTATCAAAGGGTACAATCATTTCGATTTTGTATGAAAAATTTGGGATGAAAAAAATATCAGCAAGATGGGTGCCGCGTTTGCTCACTGTTGAAAACAAACGAATCTGCGTGGTTACCTCTAAGGCTCTTTTGGCACACATACGTCGTAATCCGGAAGACTTTTGGCGTCGACTCGTAACTGTAGACGAAACATGGGTACATCACTACACTCCTGAAACTAAAGAACAGTCCAATCAATGAATTACCGCAGGACAACCAGCCCCAAAGAAGGCAAAGACAGTAAAGTCAGCTGGCAAGATTATGGCTACGGTTTTCTGGAATGCGTATGGAATCATCTACATCGACTACTTGGAAAAGGGCCAAAATCATTTGACAATATTATTCGAATTAATTGACCATCCATCATACTCGCCTGATTTGGCTCCCAGTGACTTTTTCTTATTTCCTAACCCCAAAAAATAGCTTGCCTGACAACAATTCACGTCGAATGAAGAAGTCATCGCCGAAACAAATGCCTATTTTGAGGGTTTTCAGAAATCATATTTTTCTGATGGCTTAAAAAACTAGAAGGCCGTTTAATAAAATGTATTGACCTTCAAGGAGATTATGTTGAAAAATTGTACAGGAAAACTTTTTTTTTCTTCTTTTTGTAAAGACTTATTGACCTCCCCTCGTATATAAAAACTTTTCCCGAAAATTAATTGAAGTATACGAATTCGATTGAGGATTGGAGTAAATCGTGAAAGAAGGTTTACAAATAAAATAAAATAATTACATTAGTTTTATTGTCGTGATTTGAATTAACACAATTAATTAGACCCGTGAAAGACAGATTTAATTCTGAATTTACTAATGATATTATTACAAGTGATCGCTCGCAGTAATAATCGAGGCGATAAGGAAACAGAACATATTTGATAAGAAAAGAGGGGGGAGAGTTCTGCTACTTACGGGTGCACGTGATCGCCGCAAACCGTGTGGAGGAGACAACCTTGGCACTTCCACCGCGGGTAGCCTTTACGTCTCGAGAACGGAATCAGCCCTTACCGCCGCGTGAGTAAATATACATCCTTCCGTGTTGGTGATGGGCTCCCGGGAAACAAACTCCCACTCCAGCAGCGTAATGTGGGTTGAGTCCAGTTGATATGGGCGAATTCACTTATCATTTCAGAGATAACTAGGCACTACAAAGCGCGTTCCAAGCTATCAGCACTCATACAAGAAGAGATCTAGCTACTACTAGATTAAGCGCTTCGACCAAAGAACATAAAGTGGCTAACTCAGTGAGAAGTAAACCATTGCACCTCAAACAAAAGACTAACTAGTTCTCGCCCTCTCTTCTTTTGATGAGGCAACGCAAACCTCCCGTTGTTAAGAGAAATGGAAGGGAAAGCGTCACAATTAGGCTATTGGACTAATGCCGGTCAATGCACGGTCTGGTTCACAACCGCGCGACACATGTAAAGGAGACGCTAGATCAAGCGCGTATGATCTTGCCCTGGGGAAAACCCTGTTTTCGGCTGTGCTAAAACGTGCTCTCGCTCTGGTCAAGCGCACCGATGATTGTCGGTAAAAAGTGCGCTTGGATCGTAAACATTTTTAATATGTACAAATTAATTGATTATTGTTCAGTTTTTCAAATTTCTTAATATTTATTATTTTCATTGGGAAATATATGCCATCAAATTTAAGTTCGTTCACTTTATATTTTTTCATTTCATCTCCATGATCGGCTGGATAAAGGGCTGATAAAACAGGACATTTTAAACACTGATTATTATTATTTTTAACATTCATGCAAGTTTTTTTTATTTGCTAAGAACGCTGGCAATGGAATATCTGAGAATGGTTTAAGAGAATTATGCTTATTCATATTGATTGTTAAACCGACTCTTATTTTCAGAGTTCAATCTGAGTCTCTTTCTTGAAATTCTTTCATACTGTTTAATATTACTTGCTTAATGTCATTTTTGAACCAAGAATCGAGATTAGTTGTATTATAAATAAAAACGATTTTAGTATTGAAATATTCAATTTCATTATTCTTTCCTTCATCTCGTTTTTTAACAATGGACTAAGCTGCCATCTCAGTATTTATTTTCTAAGAATTACATGTATAAAGAAACCTTTTTACTTGTAATTTCAAAAATTCATATGCATCAATCCAAAAAGAATTGACATTTAAGCGAATATGATTAACAATTATAGTTGATTTAATTCGATTCTTGAAAGCAGATTATATAGGACACTATACAATAGACTTTTATAAAGTTATTGAATTTAAATATAAGAGAAATCAAAAATGAAGCACATATCTGATTTTCCTGTGCGATCGCCCTACTTAAATCAGGATTACTTTGTATATATTTCCTAATATATTCTGATGGTGCCTTTGTTATACTCGTATCTTTCCATCGAATAAAATCTTCAGTAACAAAAATATTCTTTTGAAAATATGTTCTTCATAATTTTTGTATGGGTTTTTTCAAAATATTCAATAGAATACATATGTACACACACACACATATACTATACATATGTATATATGTATGTATATATATGGGCCTGTCTAATACTTTTCAACCAAAACCGTGCGTACGTGGGTAACCGATTTCGACGCTGATAATTTTTTGAAGATAACCATAAAAAAATAACACATTTATATCATTAGAAATTAGCCTATGTGATCAAGGAGCTTGTAAATTGGTTGTAACGTACAGTACGCTTTTTTCAATTTTCGCTCATCTTCAAAGCTCTGTAAAAAATTCAATTTTCAATATTTTAGATTCTTTCAACTAGCGAATTTTTCGTTCGTTTTTCGAAAGACAAGAAAAATATTACCCTTTATACTTTTTCAAAGTAAAAATTCACTTATTGCATCTCAAAGTAGATTCAAAATGTAAAAAATGACAATTTTAACCAAATTCAATCCTCTGTAACTTTTTTGTAGCAATTCCAAATTTGGCTGAAAATTTTACCAGATATCCTTCAAATCATACCAAAAAGAAGTATATAATGTTGATACGATACTTGTTTGTGTATCGGAAGAATAACATGTTATTTTTCAATCTTATTTCTAGTTATACATCTGCGCTTAGTATTGTTTTCTCCTGCAAATATTGGTTTTTTCCAACTATATTTCAAGATAATAGGTCTTAAATTTATTGCTTTGAGTAAATTGCCTCCGAAAGAATCATAAAAAATTTCAAAAATCAAATCATCAGCGTTCGTGTCACTTAATCAGAGTTACTGGGATATTGCAAAAAAAGTTAGGTTAAGTAGATTCACAACTTTATTAATCATCAACTTTATCATCATAATAAAACATTGTTAACTATTTTATTGATTGTGCGCATGCGCGTTCTCATTTCTCATCTGTGTCTGACACAGGTAAGAAATGAAAACGCTTGTTTACAATATTTAAAATAGGAGCTAATTAGCAGTAGCAAAGAAACTGTTCCTTTTTAGAGGCGAGCTTTATGACGTACTATGGTCAAGTTTCAATAGTTATGACAGTCTGTACACCATCTGTTCAATGTTGATTTATGATCACTTATTTGTTTTTATTTTCAAGTGAAAAACTATAACATACTAATAAGCTGAATATAACATTATATATTGTTTTAGACACACAATCTGATGCACTAATTAGTTTCTTTGATTTCTTAAATGTTCAATTTGAAAATGTTAATTACTTCAAACTCGGTTCCGGCTCGATTCTCAACTACACTTACTAAAACTTCAAAC